ATGCACTTTTTATAAATGAGCAACATAATTAGCTGCTTCTCCACTGTGTCTCTCAACTGTAGTGGTTGGACTGCAGATGGTGGCAGCAGTACTCGCCAATTTTAGTGTAGTGCCTCATGAACCTCTTGCACAGCTAGATTGGAGTTGCCCTTTAGCTCACAGCTGAGCTCCAGATGTTAAATGTTGCAGTTGGTCTGACTGTAAGGATGAGATCCTCTCAGCTGATTCATATCAGTTATCACGATTAGATCAGAGAGACCTGGCCAGTGAGCCAGCTGGTAGAGAAAACAGGATGGTCAGTGGTTAGCAGCACTAAAATAAATGTTGGAATTCACCGTTAGTAAAGTCAGTGTGAAGGAAATGCAAGAATGCTGCGTTTTCTAACTCTGCCTCCATGTGAACAGGTTTTGATTCGGTATGCGCGGCTCGTATCTTCCACAAACTGATGAAGCGTCTGGGTTTCCAGCAGTACTACGCTCACGCTGGAGACTGGGGCTGGTTGGTCACCACCAACATGGCTCAGCTGGAACCCAAGTATGTGATACAAGAGCTACACCAAATGTACTGGGTATAAATGACGTCTTATTGAGAAATATTACACCAAATTCTGAGCATGGCGATAGTTTTCTGTAGTATACTTGTTCAAAGAACAGTAGACCTCTGTGAGGCATGCAAACATTTTTGTATTTCTGGACATCTTTTTTGTAAGCAGTTTTTTGTTTTTTTTTTTTGCTTCGCCCCCAGAACTGTCAAAGGCTTGCATTTGAACTTTGCCCCGCCCTCCAAGCCAGGGCTGTCCATGGCTTTGTCCATGATGCTTGGCCGGCACTTCCCTAAGCTGTTTGGCTTCACTGACTTTGATATTCAGCGATTATTTCCCTGCATGGAGAAACTGGTGGTAGAATCCATCAAAGAGACTGGCTACATGCATATCCAGGCCACCAAGCCTGACACTGTGGGTAAGAACTTGGAGAAGATGGTTTCAAGCAGCATAACCCAGTTCAAGTCTGACTGGGGAGCTTGGTTGCATTTTCCTTTACTTAATATACTTCTAATCTCCCTTCAAATTATTTTATTTGCTCAAGATTCCCAAAATATTTTGTGTACATTGAATTATATTTTACTTTCTGACCCTTGAGGTCGAGGGCTGAATGACTCTCCAGTGGGTCTAGCTGCCTACATTCTGGAGAAGTTCTCCACATGGACGAGCCATGACTTCAGGAACCTGGATGACGGAGGACTCACACGGTGAATACAGCAGAATATTAGAATATGTCCCACTAATATTAGTGGAACCCCACCCCAACTGGTGGGAGCAGATGGTTGCCCCTCACCTGAGCCTGGTTGTGCTGGAGTTTTCTTCCTGTTAAAAGGGAGCTTTTCCTTCCCACTGTTGCCAAAGTGCTTGCTCATAGGGGGTCGTCTGATTATTGGCGTTTTCTCTGTATGTATTATTGTAGGGTCTACCTTACAAAATAAAGCACCTTGAGGCGACTGGTGTTGTGATTTGGTGCTGTATAAATAAAATTGGATTGAAGGTTATAAGAAGTTGTGAACTTGAGTAGTAGCATGCGTATTAGCAGTGCTGTCTATTCTGAAATAGGCTTGTTTCCTTAGTTTTTCAGTTGTCAGTAGTCTTATATCAGTGGGGTCATGTGTTTCAGGAAGTTCTCTCTAGATGACCTGCTGACAAACGTCATGATCTATTGGACCTCTGGCTGCATTATCTCCTCCATGAGGTTCTACAAGGAAAACTTTGGCCAAGGTCTTGATGCTCCACATGCAAAGTAAGTGAGAACAAATGCCAAATTCCCATAAAGCACATCAGCAACATCTTATTGGTTGAAAGGTGTTTGTTGTTAACAGTCTTTAACAGCTCTGTGCCACCCAACTTTGTCATTTAAAAACCTAATTTTGAAATATTCAGAATGACTGACTTGTTTAGTAAAATCTAATGCTGATTCACAACTGTCACCGTCTCCTCCCAGGATACCAGTCTATGTCCCCACGGGTTTCGCCTGCTTCCCCAACGAGTTGATGCACACGCCCAGGCTGTGGGTCAAACAGAAGTACCGTAAACTTGTGACCTTTACTCCCATGGACCGCGGTGGTCATTTTGCTGCTATGGAAGAGCCCCAGCTGATGGCAGAGGACATCCAGAAGTTCACAAAGATTGTGGAAGGGAAGGTGAAAGAGTAGAGGGTGGACTGACAAATACAGAAGTATGAATAGACATCAGCTGGGACAAAGTTCTGAGCAGTAAGTGGACATAGTTCATCTAGAATCAGAGTCTAAGCTTTGTATTTCTTATCTGAAGTGGATTCTGTAAGATAGGATAGCTCTCTAAGTGACACTATGATAAAGTCATATACAGTGTTAATGGTGAAATAATGAGTGGTGGCTGAAATTGAAAATTTGTTGAGAGGTTGGGTTACTATGAAAATCACAGCTTGTTTTCAATCTACTGTTTAGAATTTAAGGCTACACCTTTCATTCTTAAACTTGCAGTTTATTTTTATGAAATTTATGGAAAAGTTGGATGTAGTCTCTGGTGAAAACTAGAGCTTAAACCTGCATTCTTGCTAAAGGCCAGCAGGGGGTGGCAAATCTGATTAAAGAAATGATCCTGGTTGTATAGAAGTCTATGGAAAAACCGCACAGCTTGTCACTTGATACATGCACTCAGTAAAAACTTTACTGATAGGCTTTTGGTGTCAACTGAAGGTTTCATGTCTTGTTAAATATAAAATGATAGCATCTTTGCATTCTCTTTGATCTACTTGGAGTAAAGTAGGTAACAAAACAAGGTAAAATCGCACAGCTGCAATAATGATTGTGCAGAGTCTCTCAGTTTCTCAGTCAGATTTACCCTGCCCCATGATGTCTGGTTTAAAAACACCAAGATGGCAATAGTTGCGAGGTTGAAGTCAAGGTTTAAAATAGCTACAAAGTAGTGGGTGATGTGACAGTGGTTGGATCCATCTTTAATGTCTGTGATGTCTCAGTCGTCCAGGTCATCGTAGTCTAAGGAGCTTGGAAAGAAAAGCGTCTTTCTGCAACTTCCCACTCCATGAATCCAGGGGTCCGTTCACTAGTTTCTAACTTCCTTACAGCATTTCTCAGCCTCGTAGTTGTTAGAACAGTTTCTAAGCAGCTGCAGATGGGAGGTTAGGGGGCACATGGTGGGATTGTGTTGACAGCATAAACAAGGTGCCAGGCATTCCTCTGACTGATAGCACGAAACCTCTGCACTTAAGCCACAACAATAATAACACTTGATTGCCTTAAAGCTTCAGGTTATGTTTTAATTTTTTTTTTTCAGAGTCATTTAAAACTAACTTGGAAGTTGAAAACCTTTGAAGTCAGACGTCTGTTGCGACATTCCACAACTTCTTACGCAGATGATCCTTTACTGCCTTGGAGTTACTTGCCAGGGTCTGTAACGTGCATCAGATTTACATCTTGTGTCAGTTAGCTTTTGATTGGCGGCAGTTTACCCCACCTTGATGTTGGTGCAAGTTAATTTAAAATATATATTTTACTATCATGACTAGAAATTCCTCATTCGAGGCCTAACAATATAGTGACAGTGCTGCAAAACGAGTTAAATCACAATCAGAGCTCCTGATGTCTCTTTAAGAGTTTCCTTGTATATCTGCTGTTGCCTTTAAAAGTCAATAAAGATGTCAAATTCAGAACAGTAAGTTGCAATTTTGTGTATGTTGCCTTTCCAAAATCACCAGACTGACCTCTGGCTGCATTTTAAACCCAATAAAACTGACGCTGCTTTAAATTTCTGTATTTCAGTTTCAGTTTTTGACTCTCTGACACAGCTCCACTGCTAAAGACTCATTCTGAGAAGTATGTGTAAACTTTACTGTGTGTTTGCACGTTTCTGAAGTTTCTTCTGTGTAGAAATGTACGAAAGCCACAGACCCAAACTGGCTCCCAGTCTGCAGCTCATTTTGCAGTTCTAGGATTCTGTAATTCAGACAATGTTTAAAATGTCCCACATGTCTACACAGTCTGGACGTGTGATAATTCAAGTTGTGGTTGGAAATGGTAGCTAATGGGAGTGTTGGTTACATTACCACTTTGTCCAAAATTAACTTTATTGTAATTGTGCATAAGATTTTATTATTTAACAAGTTGGAGGGCCTTTAAAAAGCTGTTATTCAAGGTGGTCTTTGGTTAAGATGTGAAGCCTGAAAACTGCAACCTGGGATTAAATATTTAACAGTTTGCAAACAAACTCAAAAGTCTGATACCTCCAGATATCAGACTAAATTATATATTTAGTTGTCAACAATGGGAAAACAAGTAGCCCAGATTGTTTTGTTTTATTCCAAATCCGTGCTTTTTGGCTAACACTGAGCTTCATTGTTTGTTGTAATTATAATTGTGTTCTTCAGTAAGCAACCCAAGTCCAAATGTCTTTGGCTCTAGTGGAATGTTTTTTTTTTTCACAAGTCACTCTGACCTCTTCAGAAAATATTTTAATCTTTCTGTGCTGCCAAAAGGTGTTCCTCCAGCCTCTGTGCATGAGTTTGTGTGTTCAGTATATTTCTTTGTATTGAAACGTTTTATCGTAGTTATAGTGTGTTTGTATTCACCAGCTTGAGTGAGTTTCAGCAGAAAGCTTTCTAACTTTTCATTTCCATTCACATCATTTTCTAATGTAAAATGATCAGATTATGTAATCCGCTTTCTTAAACAGTCTTTTGTGTTTGTGGGATCTAATAAGTGAGTTATGCAGATGTGCTTGTCCAGCTTTGCATTATTAAAAAGCTTATCCAGTTCTGAGTTTCAGTAATCCAGACAAGGGCTGAAATGCTCCACATGCCTGCTGTGTCTGTTCTTGCTAACCAGCTTGGGTGACCTTTGCTGCGTGTCACGTGCTTCTCTGTGAGAATAAAACCTTTGAGCAAAAAGCCTCGAAGGCAGATTTTGATTTCAGGCTCAGTTCTCCGTTTCTTACATGGAATAGGAAGCTGAGCCTCACTACTAGGGTTGCCCAAGATTTTGGATTTGACAGCTCTGACTACCTTGCTAATCCTAAACACTTGCTGGTGTGATGTACAGCATTAGCTTGCCACAAAATCAGATTCATGACTGTTCAAGTCAAAAGTACTCCAAGGCCATAAATGTATTTCTCACTGCTCCGTTACATCCCATGTCGCGCTGCCCCAGAATTCTGTTTCCAGCTGTTAGCACAGCTTTGAGGTTCCCAAGGCCCCCACAGTGCCCTGGCTCAGGACACCCTCCCAGAGCAATACTCCCCCAGGCCTGACTGCCTGCCTGCCTGGAACTCTTGGCAACCAAGCAGCCATGGGAGGATCAGGATGACCGGGCGGCTGAGATAAGGACCACATGAAGTTCCCCACATTACCTCACCCGATAAGGAAACGAGCAGAGATTCACGGAAAGCCAGAGTGAGAGAGGGATAGAGACAGAGACGGTCAGACTTGGGAGGATGTCTCTGGGTGGATGGTGATTCGCAGAGAAGCAGCCCTTGTTTAAGGGTCTGGGTGGAACTGGTGTCCCACAGAAGTCTCATGAACTCTCCAGAGGAGCTTGGAGCTGCCCGCAGCGGGAAATCATCTCATTAATAACTTCATGAGATCAGATGAGCATTTCTGCTGTTCTTCACTTAACTAGTCACATCTCATATCCAGATTTGACTTCAAAAATGTGCTCACACTAGATGAAGGGATGACCTCAGATTCTGTTTTCTTTTGGGTCCAGCAAAGTACCTAGGAAAAGAAAGTATCTCTCATAGCAATCTCCAGCACTGGAAAATAAAGCTTCATCCGTCCAATGAAAACACACTGAATGTAATTTAATTTCTCGAGACTTGAAGGGAATCTACTGCAGCACTTTGGCAGCACTCATGGCAGCGAATCCTCTGGAAGGTCTCATGTTGGTTGCAGAAAACCACCGGCTGGTTTCTGGTTGTGCAGCCGAGCCGCAGAGCCGGCAGCCTCTTTCGTCCCAGAGCCCAGCCTCCCCGCATGGACACAAGCTGAGCGTACGCAGCAGTCGGGAGTCCAAGAAGTGGGTGAGTTTGAAATAATGCTCCAGGTTTTTTTTTTCCTCTTCTCAAATTCAAACATGACCCTGATTTTGCAGACAAATTATGCAATGCAGTGATTGATCACTTCCAGCAGCTGGTGGGAGAGTGCAAAACCTTTCTTGCATGATATGAAGAATTTCATGAGAACATCTAAAATATGTGTTTATTTAAAGTAGCCAAATATAGTCAGTATTTTTCTCAGCTGTGGCACAGCCTCATACAATGTGTGGAGGAGCTTCCCTCTTCTGAGGTCTGGTTCAATCAGTTTGTATTAACCGTAGTGACATGGAAACGCAGAGAAACCCAGACAATTAGAGAAGGGCGCTTGGAGAACAAACAAAGTAGTCACTGTGTAACCTTGTTGACTTACATGCGAGCGGCAGCGATCATGTGTGGATGTGTGCTGATGAAATATTTGTGACTGCTTGGGTCTGTCCTGCAGGTTGACCTGTTTTCTTCTCCATTAATGCAGAACTTAAAGAGAGAGCAGCAGTGTTTTGTACACTGTCAGAGCAGCAATAATGCAGTCACAAAATCAGAACGCTTTTGTTTCTTTTAGTAATACTTGATAATCAGTCTGCAGAAATGTCAGGTTCTCGGCGTGCTCTTTGCAGCAGGTACAATCAGTGTGCGGGTCCAGGTCAAACCCCGGTTCTGGTTGTGGGTCCGCGGTCCTGAACAGGGCGCTGAGGGCTCAGCACTCCCCGGAAAACGCAGCCCGAGAGAGGAGCAGAGTACGCAACCTGCGGCAGGCCTTTCACACTCTGCAGGTACAAAACACACACACTTGCCTCAGAGCTGTTACGTTACACTGCACTCTCAGTAGTTCTGCTGTACACCCGTCTTTGGTGACGGCTGAAAAAGAGGCTGTCACAGCAGCTTCTCCCTTCTTTGCAGGCAGCTCTACCTTCAGTCCCACCTGACACCAAGCTCTCAAAGTTGGATGTTCTGGTTCTGGCTACTAACTACATAGCTCACCTGACAGAGACCCTAGACCAAGGAGGGATGCTAACGGAGCACACGGCCTCAAGGCCGGGTGGATACCTGCATCCTGTTAAGGTTAGAAAGTGACAGCTCACTGCCTTCCATGCTATGCCCATTATTGTCTTACTCACATATATTATACAACTTGAAGACTTGCTAATTGGCCATCACTAGTCAATAATCTGTTCACTGTGCCTGCGCAAAATACTTTTAGCTACAGTCGAGTAAAAGAGGTTTTCACAGGATTCTCTGCAGTTCCTAGATGCACCTTTAGCGCTTGTTAAAAAATTCAGGTGTTTGTTAACACAGTACCACGAAGTAAGAGCTATACCTCAGAATCTCCAGGCATCAGTTAGCATGTTAAATGTTAACGTTTGTCTCCGTAAGACTGAACAAGTGTGGCTTGTTCACACATTGAGTGTAATGAGCTGTTTCAAATATAGAATGTACAGAATTTCAGAATGTGTAGCTGTTCTTAGATTAAGCCTGTGATCAGACGTCCAGCATGACTCTGGATAAATGTGTGTCTCTTCTCAGAAATGGCCCATGCGTTCTTTGCTCTACTGTGGGAGTGTGGGAGAGCTGCTGTCAGCCAGTCAGATGACTCCACCTGGACAGGACAGGACACACCCACTGAGCCCTACCTTAGAAGGAGACGATGAGTGAAAGCCTGTTTTATGCTGTTTTATATCTTTAATCGTAACCAGCTATTGGTAGCAAAGGAGACATCAAAAGACACTCATGTGCAGAGATGGGCAAATTTCAAAGGATGTGGTGCACCGCTGCTGACGTGGGCTTAAAGACGAGCAAGGCAGACATTTTTATGTTACATATAAACAATGATGTTTTTGTCAAATTACTTTTTTTAATCTAAATGCGGAAGTTAAATGAACTTTAATGAACCTGCAGCTAAGTTTTTACTTTCTGGTGTTGGATTTCTTTCTTTTAAATTAAATGTGGTCATGTGTCTTAAACAGAAAATAAAATGTGTTTGTGGAAAAAAAATCATATTCTCCCTGCAAGGAAGAGTCACCCGTTTGCTTTTTTTTTTTCTTTTTAAAAAAAATAAAGTCTACGTTTGTGAGGTTTTCCTACTTTATTATTTGAATGTGTGTGTGTGCGTGGGGGGGGGTCTGATCACTGAGTGTTCATTACAGCAGTGCCACAGAATGTAACCGTTTACTTGCACTAGGACAGCAGCGACTCTTAACGGTTCACGCAGGTTCAATAATGTGTAGCGTAAGACCTCCTATACAACTCATCCCATCCATGCTCGACCTACCCCAGATGATCTCCTTGTAACATAAAAACACAGCGATTGTAATTATCAGAAATCACTCCAGAATAGCTCTGTGGTGTTTTTGAGCCTGTAGAGTTACTGAGCAGTAAAGTGAATATCACTCAAAATGTCCAGAGTGCCACCAGACCCCCACCAGCAGCTTGTTCACCGACCTTCCATCCCTCAACTTTTAAGTTTTAAGAGTTCTTAAGACTGCAGTAAACAGTAACGATGGAAAAGGATCCAGGTTGAATAGAAGTGAAATAAAGTTCTATTTATTATATGTTTTTGCTACAAAAATCACATGAATTCACTTTTATTTCTCCCCACCCCTATCCAGCTGCCCCACCAGTGAGGCCCACCCACAGTCTGATCGACACAGTTGTACAATACTGCAAAGACAAATCCAACAGTCCTCTGTTCATGTGACGAAATGTGACAACTACCAATTACAGTTTCAAATATAAATAAGTTGTTTCTGGGAAGCTCCTATTTGGAGACTTTAGCAACTGGTGATCTGTTCAGGTTCATGCACAGCTGGACTTACTTCAAACTAAATCATTCCAGTCTGTTGTAAGCAGTGACAAGTGCACTGGGGTCATCACACAGTTAAAAAAAGATGTTTGGTAAGAGAGAAGCAGATGTTGTATATCTGTTTGCGCCTTGAACCCCCCCCCCCAGAAAAAACAAAACAAAACAAATGCAGCTAAAAAAAGGAAGGTGAAATTTCAGAATCGTTTATGGACGTTTTGGATCTTTTACTCTGGAGATTCAGCATCATATACTCTGTGTGCAATTATAATAACTTTATTTCTGACTAAAACCCAATCGTATGATATCCAAAGACATTCTCTCATTAAAAAAAACAACCTCCCCTGACATTAGTGTGCTGTGATTGAACAACGCTTTGAGATAAAAACACTCCCCACTTTTTTCCCACTCGAGTCATATTTCACTGACTCATATTTGTGCTGAATGATCACGATGTCATTTTAAAAATAAGAACCTGAACCAGTAAGTCACGTGGATATGTTTGTCGGGTGTAGTACAGATGGGAGACAAGACTAACTGGAAGCGTCTCCCCCTTGAACAAAATGGGCTCAGCTCCACAAGCAACAGCCCAACGTTCAAGGCTACTTCTATAAATCTGTCTGGGGCTGGCTGGGGGGGGGTCTCCTCGATTTCCCATGTGTAGCGATGACTAATTTGGAGCTGCCGCATTCTGACTACTACATCAGAGGTTATAGAGGGGCAAGCTGGACTATTTGGTAAAGCAACAACAACGTGAGTCTGTGAGTGTGCAAAAAAGTCAAAAAACAAACTCAAACCCTTGAAATGTTTTATTTAAGTTAGCCTGGAAACAGTGAATAATGACATGCTCATGCTGTTGTAGGAAAGTTTTTCTATCAACCGACATCAACACTTCCTTTTCTCTTTAAAGGACATGGACCACAGCTCTGAAAATGTCAAAAGTCTAATTTTATAAGTTTTTTTTTTTTAAACCCACTGTTAACTTGTTTGATGCATGATGTAGTTTATTTAATTTTTTTGTAAAAAATAAATAAAGGCTAAAGTTTTTAGCTTTTATTGGTGCAGGATAATAGAAAGAAGAGCGCGAGCTCAAAGGAAGACCAGGGGAAGACACACAGCAAGTGAGCCTCTGCATTAGCCTTACAACCTGTGGCTCAACCCAGTGAGTTGAACCAAGACCTCCACAATGTCATTTCCACCTGAACTTCTTCAACTACTTTCAGGATTTTCACTTCCACTGACCACATCCAAAGTGACCCAACAACATATATCAGTGCTTGCACTTAAATGTCATCTATTTCAGAATTTATATTTTAACCACTGCTTCATTCAATTCAATTCAATTTTATTTATACAGCGTCAAATCACAACAACAGTTGCCTCAAGGCACTTTATACTGTAAGGTATACCCCACAATAATACATGCAGAGAAAAACCCAACAATCACATAACACCCTATAAGCAAGCACATTGGCGACAGTGGGGAGGAAAAACTCCCTTTTAACAATAAGAATTCTCCGACAGAACCAGGCTCAGGGAGGGGCGGCCATCTGCGGTGACCGGTTCATAACTTCTAAAGTTTCCTAAATGCAGTCTGTTCTAGTTGTTGTTACTCCACCGTGATGGAGGTGTTGTGTTCTAGGCTTGCCTGTCCATAAATATCTTGAGAGAAGTTCTTCACAAAAGTTAAGGGGAAATGTACCAGTTTGCCACCCTTTCTTTCACCAACACCCTGTAAATGTTTGGACATGTAGTAAATAACTTGCTGTAGTTTAAAAAATAAAAAATAAAAAATTGTAATATGTGCAGAAGACTATTTGGCATTATCCCTCAGAAATAAGCAAGGCCTTCCCTGAAAAAACAGCATTTCATTATTATTGAGGCCTTCACAGATGAGCAAGTTACCAGAACCATATGCACTAATAACCCCCATAAAACCATAGGCTTTGAACTGTGCCCTGGCAACGAGCTGGGTGGTCTTTCTCCCCTCTAGCCTGAAGGACATGCCCATTATTTCCAAAGATGAACTCAGAGTGTAGCTGGTTAGCCCAGAGGACAGTTTTCCTACATCTCTTCAGTCCATTCATCCCTGGCTTTGGGCCTTTTGCAGTGTGTACAAGAAATTGCCTCTGTAATTTGATTCTTTTTTAGACTACGTGCTGTAGATGATGGCGTCCACAGATTGTTTGCTACATTATTATTAAAAAAGGTGAGATGTTCCAACTGCTGTCTTGTTTTTTGCCATCTCTGTCTGACCATTTTAAAAATGTGTTGCTGTTATCAATATCAGAATGAGCGTCAAACTCATAATTAGATTTTTTGGTTTTACAATATTTTCTCTTAAGTATGGACAGATGGGGCTAAAATAATTTTATTGGATTCTGTTCATTTATTATGTGTGAGTTTAGATGGTGTCCCATCTCTTCTGATGGTGGTTTTATCTTAGGTGTACTTAAAGTAATACATACACTGCATCAGAACGCCTACACTCGATGGAACAACTCCATGTACAGGCCAGTGAGAGCCCTTAAAGTACACTCTGTATGTGTGTGTGTGTGTTTGTCCATGCTTCCTTCTAAAGACAGCTATTTATGCCATTGGAAGAGCTTCAACAAAGTGTGTATCCAAAGTGTCTACCCCCTCACCGCCTCATGCTGGGAGATAATAGACATATTTTTACTATCTTGTGCTCATTATGGCCGGTACATGCTGATTACGGGCTCGATTTATGAAGCTCTGAGGCCACACTCCCCTTTACTTTGGCTGGACCTCTGCTGGAACTGTATGGAAGTCCAGGGAGATCACAATGAGCAGGAGGAGGAAGAAGATGAGTGGAGAGGAGGATGATGGAGTAGAAGGGAGGGTAGAGGAGAAGAGTGTGAGAGTAGAGAGAGTGGGATAAAAGATAAATACAGAACAAGAACAAAGGACAGGAGAAGAGAGCAAAAAAAAAAATGGATAGGAAATAATAAGACAGGGAGATTTGGGGGGGGGGGGGGGGGTAGTAGAAGAAAAGCATGATGCTCTGCAATTATTCTTTTTTGCTTCAGCGTCTGCTTCTGGATCACATTTGATCAGTCTCAGATAACACAATGCTCAACTCAAAGTTATGCTTACAATTGAGCATAAGTGAATTATCACCAAGCTAAACTTTCAGGATTAATCCTGGATACATGATCTAATAATTAACAGGACATCTTTCATTCTCTTTAATTTTATATTTAACTGTGCTTTTAACTTCCGCAGAGTTTTTCTGCGCTCAAACCAGCGTTCCTCCCTGTCCAGGATGTTACATCCTCATCACTGAAAGAGTGTCGACTGGCCTGTAGGTGTAAATAGACTGCAGAGTCCTGGCCTGAGGAGGTAGCTCTTCTGTGTTGTGCCATCCGCTTCGCCATCCAGAGGTTGTTTGGTTTCCCTGATGTATGAATCCTGGCAATCCTCCTGGCACTTACCAGCGTACACTATGTTACTCTGTTTGTGTCGAGGGACCCGATCCTTGGGGTGGACCAATTTTTGGCGCAACGTGTTTTGGGGTTTAACAGCCACTGAGATGCGGTGTTTGGAAAAAATGCGTCTCAACTGTTCCGATACTCCTGACACGTACGGGATCACTACAGGTTTTCGCTTAGTCAGCGCTGGTCCTTCTCTCCTGGATCGGCTGGAGCTTTCTTTTGGAGCCTTCCCAGCTTTGACAAAAGTCCAGCTGGGATAACCACATTTACTCAGGGCCTTCTTGATGTGCTGTTCTTCTGCTTCCCTGGCTGCTGTGTCTGTGGGGATGGTGTTCGCTCTATGTTGTAGCGTCCTGATGACACCCAGTTTATGCTCCAGTGGATGATGAGAGTCAGACCTTAAATACTGATCCGTATGCGTAGGTTTCCAGTACACATCAACTTTTAGATGTCCCCCATTACTGATGGAAATCTCACAGTCTAAAAAGGCTAACCTGCCACTTTTCATATCCTCCCTGGTGAATTTGATGTGTTGATCCACCGAGTTAATGTGATCCGTGAATTGTGGTACGTCGTGAGATTTGATTTTCACCCAGGTGTCATCCACATACCTGAACCAGTGACTTGGTGATTTTCCAGGGTAGGACAACAGAACCCTTTTTTCCACTTCTTCCATGTACAAATTGGCCACGATGGGTGAAACTGGGGCACACCCATGTTTCTGCCTGTAGTACTGACCCCTGTTTGTGAAGTAGGTTGAACGAAGACACAGTTCCACAAGCAAACACACTTAGTCGATG